ATAACAGAATCAAAGATGATGCAATTAAGATTTTAAACCAGAAATTTCTGCTTCACTATAATCCTAAGGACATGCACCAACAAGTCAGGGAGAGTTATTTCTGCTTCTAAGGGCAGAGAACCACAGCTTCTCAGTACAACTGAAAGTGTAAGGATTTGTTTATCTTCAAGCATGTCAAGGTCTGCAGAACACATGCCCTGCCCTTATGTGGAAAAAGTGTAAGTTTTGCCTTCAAACTTGCAGTTTTAGTACAAAGGTAGTGAATAAAATACCTCATTGCTATCTTTGAAAGTTAAGCATAAAATGATGTATCAAAGGTGCCGAGACATCTGGGGTTTAACTCTAGGGCTGATTGTAAGAGGACAGTGTGGAATCTGGGAGGTTAGTGGTTGAAAAGCAGAAACTGCTGTATGCCAGGATTATATTCCAGATAGGAGAACACATCTATGCAGTTTACTAAGTAGGCTGAGTTTATTCGTATAGTAACTGAGGTTGGAGATGTTGCTAAGAGTAGGTAACAGATGCCCTGATACATCTGCTTTTTTATGCTTTTTACTCTCCTCATTGCTCAAGCTGTAAGCAAAGGAATGATGGAGATACAGGGCCAGAGACCATATGCAGTGTATGTTGAAGGCTCAGGGTTTTAATTGTTGGCTTTTTCTGAATGATAGGATTCCTTCAGGCTTCCTGAAATGTGGAAGGTTTCATGTTGTACTGAAACATAATTTAACTCCACTCCCTCTCACAAAGTGCAGGTCACTACCTGTGCCCTGTGGTGGTTCAGATGAGATGCCAAAGGGGATAACTGCAGTACAAGTGGAGTCCTTTGGAGCTCAGTCCCTTTTCAAAGGATGAAGTTCATTGTTGTTTTTCTACAGGGTAGTAGAACAGCTAGTTCCCACCATGCAAGATAAACACGAGGGTTTAATAAATCTTGCAGGCCTTGAAATGGAAAAAAACCCTCAAAACCTTAATCATCAGAACTAGATATTTTGTAGCTGTGTAGTGATCATCAGGGAACACTTTATACTTCTCACAGATGACAGTATATTCCTTCTCTTTCTGTCAGTTTTGCACCACCCACAGCATTTCACTATAATGTTGTCTGATTCATAGCATCTCTAGGAAGAGAACTGAGTCCTGGAATAGATTTTATTGTGGTTTACACAGTAGGTGGGTTTAAACTGTGAATATCCTATCTGATGTTTAATCACTGCGGGTGTGGTTCAGTCAGTGTTTTCAGCCAACAGAAGGAGGAAATCCTGTCTCTGCATTACCATTCCTGCCCTTTTCCCTGTAGCAGTAGTGAAGTTTCTGATTCTGTTGTTAGAAATTAACCCTTCCACACTCCTGAGGTTATTAGTTTTATGTTTGATTGTTCCCTGATCTGCTTTGCTCTATGGTCACCCCAGTTCTTGTGCCTACACAAAAAGCAGAATGTGAAAAATCAAGAAAGCAGGGGGGGGTACTGCTGTGTGTTCTGGTTAACAACACATACTTAGGTACAGCTTAAAGTAATTGTTGCTTTGAGTGTTCATGGTCATTTAGAAACAGGAATTGAGTCAAGACCTCCTCTAATCTATATTTCTGTAAAATGGGGGATGACACTATCTTTTCAATGGGGGAACAAACCAGGTGAGTTGGAGACTGTCATGAAGGGCTCAGCAGAGAGGCATAGCCTGGTCTTGGATCAGCAATGACTAGTGAAATTCAGACAACATGAAACTTGATGAAACTTCTGCAAATTCAAATTATGTGTATACTGACAGAATGTTGTAAAATGCCTTGATACAAATGGAAATCTGCTTCAGCAAGGTCAGCTTTACAACAAGGTGGGGCTGAAATTCAAAGTGCTATTTTCATACGAACTCTTTCTCCTGCTGCCAGCAGTACTGTACTGACTGATGGGTCAACTTTCCCCTCTCATAGGTGGAATCATCACAGGAAGCCAATGCTGAAGTCATGAGAGAGATGACAAGAAAACTGTATAGTCAGTATGAAGAAAAAATGCGAGAAGAGGAACAGAAACATAAAGCTGAGAAAGAAATGCTCCTAGTATGTATTAGTCTGGCTCTATAGCCCAAAAGAAAAGAAAAAGTCCTCATTAATATATTAGATGTTAATGTGACTGTAAATGTTCTGATTTGAAGGAGGAAACGAATCGGCTTCTGAAGGCTATTGAAGAGGCAAATAAGAAGATGCAGATTACAGAAACGAGTATACAGGAAAAAGACCAGAGAATTGGTGAGCTGGACCGGCTGATTGAACGTATGGAAGAGGTATGAGAGGTAGTTGATTGATGCCTTTAAAGGATATGCACACGTGCATGGAGGAAGTTTAACTTTTTGTTGTTCTGCTGCTCAGGTCCCTGCTCAGTTTGCATGTTACTTAGGTACTGTATTCCTATCAGTAAATGGACCTGGACTGCCATAGAGACACTGTGATGAAGTGGTGATTTTATCTTTCTAGTGGTCTTTACAGTCAGGGCTAAGGTGTCAGCATTTACTTAGGAAATTAGCCATTATTTTAAAAAATGAATTTTAAGAGATCATTCAGTCTCCCTTTAGTGTGCAAGGTCTCCTAAACCTAATCAAGTAATAATCATAAATGATCCAAAGTCTCTTAGAAATGTTGCGGTAGGTCCATGGACCTCTGCCTGGGAATGGATGAGGAGTCAACGGAGAGTTTGTGGGTCAGGATTAAAGGGAGGGCAGGGACAGATAACATTATAGTGGGGGTCTGCTACTGAAAGGATGAGTCCCTCTACAGACAGATAGGAGCAGCCTCACGTTCACAAGCTCCGGTCCTCATGGGAGTCTTCAACCACCCCAACATCTGTTGGAGGGACAGCACAGCAGGGCATAAGCAGTCAAGGTTCCTGGAATGCATTGATGATATTTCTTTCTCCAAGTGATAGAGGAGCCAACAAGGAGAGGCTTTGCTGGACCTTGTTCTCACCAACAAGGAGGGGCTGGTGGGGAATGTGAAGATCAAGGGCAGCCTTGGCTGCAGTGACCATATAGAGCAATATCTTCTATCTCAGCTTTGGACGAAGACAGGCTGAGGAAGTTGGGGCTGTTCAGCCTGGAGAAGAGAAGACTGTGTGAAGACCTCAGAGCAACTTTTCAATATCTGAAGGGCCGACAAGGGAGCCAGAGAGGGACTCTTTGTTAGGAACTGCAATGACAGGACAAGGGGTAATGAGTTCAAATTGAAGGAGGGGAAGTTTAGGTTAGATACTAGAAAAACATTTTCTACTGTAAGGGTGGTGAGATCCTGGCACAGGTTGCCCAGGGAAGTGGTGGCTGCCCCAACCTTGGCAGTGTTCAAGGCCAGGCTGGATGAGGCCTTGAGCAACCTGGTCTAGTGAGGAGGTGTCCCTGCCTAAGGCAGGGGGTCTGGGACTAGATGATCTGTAAGGTCCATTCCAACCCCTAAAATTCTATGATTCTATGATTGAGAGATCTTTTTGGGGTGATAACATGGACAATTTGACATTTATGTAATTAAAGATTTTGATGACTTAGCTTTTTATTTAAAAAATTCAGTTTTAAGTACAGCCATACGTCTACAAATAGAAATTTGAAAACTCTGATCTTATTTCCATGCATAACTGGGAATTTGATTTTATTATTATGCATGCTATGCTCCTTGGCTATAGGAAATGCAAGAATTTTGTTTAATCAGTTTCTATTTTAATTTCACAACTGATGTTTTGAATTGCAATGAAATATGCTTTGTGAAGCCTTTACATTTTGACACATGGAAAACTGAAGGATAATATTTCTTGTTTAGGAACGTCAACAGCTGCAAAAACAACTTGAATTAAATGAAATACAAATATCTGGAGCAAAATCTGAAAACAACTCTGACAGTGAAAGGTGAGATAAATCTTGTCTGTGGAACTATTGCTAGGAAACTTTGGGGGTTGGTTTATTTTTGAAGACACCTGAATTTTTCTGACTTTAAAATTGCACTCTGGTAGGATTGTCCATCTGAATGCAGGTTGATTTACATGCAAAATATCACGATGATTACTTTTTTGCAACAAAACCCACCTTCATGCATCTTTCCTGAAAAGTTGTTTGTAAATATGCAGACTACATTCTACATTAAACAACTTGTGACACATTTGTTGATTGCAGTTTTCTTAAACCTGCATTCCCAAATTCAGCACAGTATGATCCTGACTTTCATTATCTCCTTCTAGACTGCTCAACACAAGACAGGATATTCTATATCCTGTAGGACATCCCCTTTGAAAATATGTACTCATGAGGAGAACAAGAGTTTTGCATATAACTGCCAGAGGTGTCTCTTTTGTATAAAAGAAGGAAAGCAGGAAATAGAGTTGAGGTGTGGAGGGGCAGGTCTACACATGCAGTGACCATTAGCATATGCACATGAACTAAGCAAAGGTGTGGAAGAAATCTGTCAGGTGGCATTGCATGTGGCATCACAAATATGCTATGCGCAGTGACCATTAGCATATGCACATAAACTAGGCAAAGGTGTGGAAGAAATCTGTCAGGTGGCATTGCATGTGGCATCACAAATATGCTATGAGGTTAGTTGGAGAAAGTGAGGGGGATGTTATTGGCAGTGAGACCTCTGTGAATAGTTGTTTCAAAAGCATGAGGCTTGGAAAAAAGATCCAGTGGTATGTGGTGGCACCTGGATGTGATGTTTCTGCGCACAGGTGGCATGTGCATCCGTTACTGCTTCTTTGAGGCTGATGGAGCACCATGACCAGGCAGAAAAAAGCTTCAAGCAAAGCCAGAGGCAAAGTTTCAAGAGAATTCTATCCAGTACTGAAATAGTGTGACTGCCATTGGAGTGAAAATTGCATCTGCCACTCAAAGGTTTACATGATACTGCTTGAGTGGGTACAGATGAGTTATAACCAGACTGAGTAATTGTACTTGATTACTACTTATGGTTCTCTGGCGCCCAGAAATTCAGTTTTAAAGTTTTTGGCATCCTGCTGTTCTTTAGGAAGCATAAACATAAAAGGAGGTCCCTGCCGAGAGCCTCTCACTGCCTAGTTGTATTGATCTGTGACCAGCTTCTCTGGTTTCAGGGTAAGAACAGCTTTTCACAGCAGCCTGTTAAAATAATAATTTAAAGTGAACAGATGTTGCATACAACATAGAATATAGAGATGAGTTAATTGCTTTCTTCCTTTACCTCTGAATAACACAGACTCTTCTCGCTTCAGTGAATCCTTTTCAGCGTGAAAAGTTACACTGCAGTAAAAAAAGGGTAAAGACAATGTTCAGGCAGGAATTTGTGCAATGCAAGCAAGCTCCCAGTTGCAATCTGTGCTATGCAAGCAACGAATCTGTGTTCAGATGATGCTGAAGTCTGCTCTTAAGTTCCCTTTACCTGTCTGTACCTGATCAGACACTTGAGCTCCATCTGAGGAAGGATGTCTGTATCATTTCTCTGTCGCTATCAGTGCTTAAAATTCTTAACCTTCAAGATGAGATCACATAGTTTACAATTGCAATCAAAAAATAAATTGCTGTTTTGTGAGACCTTAATACAGATGATGGAAAAACCTGCAGCAATGCCTTGAAATTTTGGAAGTCCTTGTCAAAGTGCTGCAGTTAACATTTCTGTAGAGTACTTCACTGGTAATAGAGACTCTTTTGGGGGGAAACAGCAGACGATTCAGTCATTCATTGGAATCATGTCTTACAGTTTGCCATCTGCTGCTTTGTCTTAGAATGGTCGTTCTATTTGCAGCTTCAACAGTTTCTTCTGCTGTGCACAGGCCAAGACGAAAGAAGCCTTTTGGTTTTGATTTCTCTCCTCCACTTCTCAAATTCTGTCCATTTCTGAAGTTAGGAGTACAGAAGTTTATTTTGTAAGCAAGTGATTGCTTTCTTTAAAGAAGTTTAAGGATTGTACAGTCAGATAAAAATGGAGACTCCCATGGTCCACGAGCCAAAAACTTATTAAAAACCTTCACTCCCGTTTCTTTGCATATTCTAAAACTGCTTTTCTGATAAGCTGACAAACCAGCATGTGGCAGAAGTTCTGTGGGTGTTCAATTTCTGTGTTAAACAGATTTGGAGAAATGCAGAATCTATCTGAAGAGTCATACATACAGTCTTAAAGCATTCAC